CCCGAATTAAATTCCCCGCCGTTCCAGTAGAAACGGCCGATAAGGAAAGAGTTATTTAAAGGGGTCTCGAGGGGGGAAAGAACCACACAAGAAGCAAATATATTTTAAAATACCACCACCACCAAAACTCTGAAGTTTCATTCCTGTAGGTCTGACTTTAAAGCTTCTAATTTTTCTTTTTAGGGAGGGCGTCTATATTTCTCTACTTTTAATTGAAGTAAACACAGTGTAACAAATCCTAACCGAAATATGATTGCGGTGAGATTAGGGTGTAATTGCTTAGGGTTCAGGTGGAATCTGCGGGCTAAATCCTACAGGGCCAATCTGAATTTCACAATCATTCTGTCAAAAGGAGAACGATGAGAGCCCACACGCTTCCTAACAAGTCATTTTTAACAGTTACAAGCTTCTCACAAAGACCACACAGGGAGTCTAAGAGATGCAAATCTAATCTCTGGTCATTCTGCAGGGCTTCCACAAAGATGTGCTAAACCCTAATAGAAAAGAAATCAGTTCTCTGTCACCAGCCCCTGGTAAAATCTATTAGAGGATGAACCGGGCTGCTATCTACAGCAGTTGCTGTAAAGGTTAAGGACAAGTACAAATAAAAAGGACCCCATTTTTTTGGGTGTGAAATACATGGAGAAGCTAACCCCAAATGAGTTCAATGCACAGCGCCACATTCAATTTTGTGATGGAGATGGGAAAAAGAAAAAGAAAGAAAGAAAATGAACAGTAAGACTTAGATATCTTCATTTCTGAGTTTCAGGAGATGAACGGAGATAAACATTGTTTTCCTAAAATTGAGAGATGTTGATTTTTTAAGTTATTAAAAAAAATGCAAGGACATGAAAGGACCGGTGGTGGTAAAGGAGAAGATTACACATTTCCCTAAATTGTCGGAATTACATCCTTAGCAACTTACTATACCTCCCACAGGCAGAGGAAAACCAGTCTGTAGACTGAATTTTGGATGTTCGAATCACTCTATCAGGCAAGATCTTCTTTTCAAAGCAAACCAGTTTCTGAAGGTAAACTACCTACCTAGTGTTCTCACCTAAGACGATAGAACGGAAAAGGTCGGTTCCCTGCAGGGCAAATACCACCCCCTTGACACTTTGACACACTGTTTTTCTTTTTTCTTTTCTTTTCTTTCTTTTTTTTTTAATTTCCCAGCCATATGTCACTCAAGCTAAAGAATTGCACTCCCTTCAGAATGAGCTGAAAAGATGGTTGAGAGTCTAGCTGGCTCCCTCTCTCCCTTCCCCACAGTCTCTTCATAGTAGGTTAAGCCTAGTCAGTGCAGATAGGGACGGAAAACTATGTTAGCTTTCCCGGGTGTGCGGGTGGGGGGTAGGGGAATTGGAGGTTGGAGGGGGAGGGGTATAAATGTCTTAGATCTCGGCAGAAATTCAAGGCTACTCAATCTTTGCCTTCTCTGAAATGTCCCTTTCGAAGTAACTTATAGGGGAAAAAATACCAGGGTGCTAAATTTTGGAAAACATTGCTGCATCTGTCTTTGTGCAGTTATTTTTTAAAATATGTGTTGAAGTGGAACTTCTGAATTCGGTTGGCTAGGTTTAGATTTTAAGACTCAATGCAGAACCAGATACAGACCCTTAAGCAAATCTACATATAGTCCCAGGAAAAAAGAAGTATATTTTGGTAAGTTGTTTACTGAGATTCAGTTATTATCTGGAGACCAGATCAAAGCCTTCAGTGGCAATATTATTAAAACACTTAGCAAAAAATACTTGAGCAAATCTATTGTGAAGGAATGAAAGCTCTGGATTTAAGCTGTTTCCCCCCCCCCCCGCCCCCCCGACCAAAGGTAGTGTACTAGCCCTAGTTCACCATCTTCCTTCAATATTGGTGATTAGGTTCAATTCAATATATATTTGTTTAGAGATTAAATTCTAAGACTATAAGCTACAAAAGGGTACTAGTCTACATTAGTAGAAGGAGTTTCTGGAAATCACAAGGCCAATGCCTCTAAAGTTTACTGTGTGTAAAAGTGTCCCCATTTAGCCAGCAGGCCTAAGGCCTGAAGAAGGATTCTCCGGGGGGAAATAAATTTATTTCTCTGAAAAAATGGCTTTAATTCTGGAAGTGCTTTCAATAAATTAGAATTCAGATACAAAATGCTTTGAGAACCTTAAAAACTAAAGGATTAAAAAAAACACACATTTCCACCAGAAATCAGGAAAGTATCCCTTCCAGACCCACCTTGAACTTTTTTCTTTCTTTTTAAATATTTTTAAATCATAGTCAGTGAGGAGTTAAGCTTTGAGCTCCTATCATACCTAACACTCTTTCAAAGCAAAATCAACACAAATGAAAGGTCGAGATGCTTCAATTTCCAGGGATTAAGATCATGCCATTTCCTTCTCTCCATGCCCTCTCAATACTGAGGAACCAAAGATGTCCTCATCCTAGTTTGGGTTAAAAAAAATCATATTTTCTTTGCCCAATACAGAACGTTGAGCTGTCAGTATAAGAAGATAGTTTCTTTGAAGTTTCCAAAAGATATCCAAATTACCTCCTTTCTCATTTCCTACCTTCATTTGATCAAGTATCTAACATTTTCCTCTTTTATCTGGTGGGAGGAGATGTGAGTTAATAAGTTCAACTAGGGCTAGCCAGATCAGGTCTGGGGTTTCTGGAGATCACAGAGTCCAGTACAGAAGATGCATTTAGCATTGTAAGAGAACTAAGACGATAGAGGAGGGTCTGAATCACTAGTCATGAAATGCTTCATGGTCAACATGTGGAAACAGTAAAAGCACACGAAGGAATTTTATATTTCTTTCTCATTTCCTTCCTTGCCCAAATAAGTTATTTCTTACAATCAGTTGTCATTAATTTAATTCTTTCAATTCTCTCTCTCTCTCTCTCTCTCTCTCTCTCTCTCTCTCTCTCTCTCTCTCTGTCTTTATGTTAACTTTGGCCTTCTTCTATCCCTATTAATTATTTAACTAAGTTGTTGTGTTTGCCTCAGAGGCTACTCCATTTTAACTGGTCAGTACATGGAACTTTAGCTGTCTAAATATTTACAGACCAAAATAAAATGTGTGTGAATAAAGTTCAGTCATAGTATTTATGCCACTCTGAGAAGGGACAGCTGGCTAATGAAGGATGAGTAAAACTGAAATTCTTGGTCTTTAAAATAACAGAATAAAAATGAATCAGAAAAGATAGATAAAAGAAAGAATTAAAATATAAAAAATGAAGTTGAACTGGTGCTATTTATTACAAATACAAGAAAGTCCCATGTGCATTGAGGTAAAACAACTGGCACTTAATATATGGTCACAACTATTCAGTGTATTTCTATTGGAATAATATTACCGTAGTAGTATACAGAGAACTTTCCTCACAATTGCACTATAAGATTAGTGCAAGTAATGCTATCCTTAAAAATATAGATGAGGAAACTGAGGCTCAAAGAGGTTAAATGATGAGGTCACATAACTTCAATAAGTTATGTGATCCAGGGCACATACAAGGTATTCTGACTAAAGTCCTGTCATCTTTTCACTACCTTACAATATGTATGTATTTTGTGCTTTTTATTATCTAGTATGTATTAAATACACCCAAAATGTAAATGTACTATATGTCACTCGTGTATGTGTAGGAGTATAATATGTGGTCATTTGGCTCAGTTTATTAGAACCCAGAGTTGAGATGGGAGATAAGAAATCATAAGCTTCCTCTGACACAAGGCTAAAAATGTATTGAGTTGATCTGAAAATTTATGACTGGAAGGCAATATGTTATGGTGGAAAGATGTGGATTCAGAAAAAGTGACTTGAGTTTCAGCTCACTACTTAATAGCTGTTTGATTTTAGGAAAGTCATTCAATGTTTCTAAGTGAAAGATTCCTTGTTTGTAAAATGGGAATGGAAAAATTGGTTGGGAGGATTAAATCAGATAGTGTATCTTTTCCTAGTAAAATATGCATTTTTAAAAAGATCAAATGCTATGAAATCACCAGCTCCTACCAACAATCTCAAGAAGGAGTAGGATCAGTCCAGAGAGTATGAACTCATTTGAGTAAATCCATCACCTTTCCCCAACAAACAACTCTAAGCTTACCCTCCCCAGGGAAAATAAATACTTTCATTTTTATCATACGTGGAACAGGTTGTTTCCATTTGTGAATATAAACACAACAAAAATCTTTTAAATTATCTACATACAACCAAGAGTACTAAATCTAAATCTAAATAATCTAGATTTAGAACTTGTCCAACTCTGGGTGATTTTCTTGCAAAGATGCTAGAACCTGGCTTCCCAGACAAGTGAATTTTGGGGTGTAGTCATTCTGAATTCTGAGAATCCAAATCTGCTATGTGGTGGCTGTGGATATCATTTCTAGCCACTCTCAGACCAGAATCTTCACCCAAATCCTCTAGGCCTACCTTTCTAGCCATTAGTACCCTCACCAGTCCTCACTGAGAATATGTGTACATTTTGACAGGACAAGTATAGAGGGAGTCCAGATTAAAAAAGATAAAAGCTGGTACAGGAAACTCACTGCTGTGGGCAACCTACAGGACTTGTGCATTAAAGAAATTTGTATTCTTATTCCTTCCAATATCTGCATGCATCTGTGAACCAACATTCTGTCTATATGTATAGCTTCAAGAAAAAGTTAAAAAGATATATTGAATTGCTGTGAGAAAATGTTTTAACACTTTCTGGTTAACTAAGAGATCTGGGGTCAGGTAGGTGGTTGATTGTGGTGGTAATAGAGTGCTTGGCAGAAGAATATGGTTCCCAAATGTTGCCTCTTATTAATAACAGTGGCTTTTAAAACAAGTTTTCTATAGAAGTGAGCAAACAGAGAAGTAGGAATTGGGCACAGACATTTTTGTTTCTTATCCACACACATTTTCTCCCTCAAAGTATAATATCATCTTCATCTGGATCATGAAAGAAAGAAAGAAAGAACGAAAGAAAGAAAATATGGTGACATCTAAGTATGCCTCATTTACCTTGAGGATTCCAGTTCCAGATGTTTGATGAATGACTTCCCTTTTAAGCACAGAAGGGCCACTATTAAACAAGAATAAATACTATTAGATTGTGCATCAACTAAGAAGTAAGTTCCTCAGATATGTGTCCTTTGGTGGAGGGCCAAGGCTGCCTCTTCACAAAAGCCAGGGAAACTTTCCTCTGTACATGTTTTTTAAAGGACATTATATGCTATTGTATATACTTGAGAAATAAAATTTCAGGTCAAGTTTTGAATCTTCAGTGTGCCTTGAATCATAGAAACAGTACAATACAATGATGTATTTAACTCAGAAAAAAAGCTAAAGAAATAGCAAGGGTGCTCCAAAATAAAAAATAGAATTCTTAATCTTTGTGAACACTTGTTCATTTTTCATTCTGCGCCTTCTCACCCCCAGAAATTACTTTTTCTATGGTTGTTTTCTTTATTGATTTGCATTCAACACTGAGTTGAAGGAGCTCAGAAAAACAAGGCACAATTAAATATGGCCTCTGCATATTCTTTCAACTGTTTGCAACTGAATGTCTTTTTAGACTATGAAATTAATTAATATGATGGTCAATTAGGAGCTAGAATTCTGTAACATATCTTGGATGAAGGCTTTGTATTGATATTTATACATTCTGGGAGGGTAAAGTGCATAGCCACGTCTAAAGGAAGGTGGGGAGTTCAAACAAGAGAGGATGGAAAACAACTTATGAATTCCTGTCTCCAAACTTTTGACTCAACCTTCTGACTCAGCATTGGGGGTACTATAATTCACTTCTTTTTCTATCAACTATATCTCCTGAGAAATCATCACTGGGTTGCTGGAAATCTCTTGAGATAGAAAGGCAAACCCATTGCTTTGTCAGACTCTGAATATTTCTCAAGGGAGCTTTTCTTTTCTTTCCTTTCTTTCCCCAGCCCATCCAATCTGCAGCCCCCAAAGAGGACTCCAAACAGTGTCAGGACTGCCTGTACTCTTTCAGTTTGCATCTGTGTATGGTCCCTGCTATTTTTAGCCCCCGTACAATGTTCTTCAGGCGGCACTCACTTTAAAAACAAGTTAGCATTTTCCACAAAATGATTTACGCAGTGTACTCTTGATTAAATGACTGTTAACCCTAAGAGACGAGAAGGACAATCAACATGCTTTTTTCAATCACCATTCTTTCATTTTTTTTTCCACCAGGGAGTCTCACTGTAGGTCAAAGCTTTGCTTTCTAAAGCAATTAAGTCATATTTTCAAAAAGAATATTAGATTAAAAATACATCATGATTAAAGCACAATGTAAAGGGTCTGAAACTGGAAGAAAATATTGAGTGCTTGTCTACAGATTCTATCACCTATCATCTGTTCTGAATGCGTTCTGAATCTTTCAGTGTGTCCAGCTCTTATGATTGCAAATGGCCCTGTTTTCAAATGGAAATAAGACTCCCAAACTGATTATGTGTATTGAATCGGAATCACTTACTAGATGCTCTTGTTTAAAATGTATTGAAAGAAAGGGGGGGATGATGGCTGCAGACCTCTGTAGCCAGCTCCTTCTCATCTCAGGGAGGTTGATCTCTTTTGCAACTTTTTGCCATCTGACCATGTTTCAGCTAGATAATTATGAGACCTTTGTGTTACTAGCCCAACATTCAGCAATACATGTATATACACACACCATCTCTGGTGTTTCACTCCCACATTTCCTTACTAAAATTACCATCCACTCAGATCGCATACACATAAATATACTGTGATCACACCCTGCCCCAACACATAGCAAAATCCCATAAACACAGCCCTACAGATTGTACTGCTCAACTTTCCAGAACTAAATCCCTGTCTCTGTCTCTCTCTGTGTGTCTCTCTGTTTCTTTGTCTCTTTCTCTCTCTATCTCTCTTCTCATCTTTCAATGCTCACATACACAGATTCACATATACTCACAACCACCCACCATAATAGAACAAAATTAGAACCTAGAGCAAGGTTAACTCCTTAATGAAAAAAAAATTAAATCATTTCAAGTACATTTAACAATTAGCTCTGTTTGTCTTAATGATATTTGTGTGTTCATATTTTAATTAGCCATATATCAGAATATACAAGAATCTCCATGTTATAGTTTATCCCAGAAAAATATTTTTCTCCTTGGCCCAACCAAGTTCTACATTTGCGTAAACATAATATTATATGACTGTGTGTTTGAATGAATCACATTTAAACCATTTTGAATTTGAAATGAGTCCAACAGAAAATGTGTAGTGTTATAAGCAGATACTGGTGTTTTTATCTTAAGTCTGATTTCTGTGTGAGCTGTGGGGTATGACAGGTTCCATGTAATGATTACAGCCAGTGCTCATGTGTATACTCATGCAGGCACAATCAATTCTGCACTGAGATTGAAAGAGAAAAGTGATCCAAGCTCCAGCTTTTGACCCACTATTCTTAGTGGTGGTGCTATGTAAAGTGTTCAATAAGTATTCTTGCAAGGTTTATACTTGTTTGCCTGTGGTGCCTTCATATTCTTCATGCGTGAGTTTTTTCAGAAACAGAAGGAGAAAATGTCCTCAGCTCAGGATACCCAAATGTATATGATCCCAGCATAGCCACAACAATGATTCATGTAGCAGTGTGATGTGGGAGATAGGTTGAATAACTTAGCTTCTGGAATCTCTTCTTAACTTATGTTCAATTTAGTCCCTAAAAAGGTTCAAATTCCCTATCTAATGCATTAGATAAAAGCTAGGACTAGAAAGAATAACTAACTCAGAGAATTCCCATCTATTCTCTCTCTCTCTCTCTCTCTCTCTCTCTCTCTCTCTCTCTCTCTCTCTCTCTCACACACACACACACACACACACACACACACACACACACACATATTTCAGAGTCATTTCCATCTCTTCTTGTAGTTTGTTCTGTTAGCTCCTAAAGCAATAGTGAGTAGTTGCTTCCAGAAGAACAAAAATCTTGAGTATTTTCATGCCATTTAGGTAATCCCAGTGTTTGTATTTGTGTACTCACAAGTCCATATCCACACTGGAGAAGTCAGATAAACCAGTAACAGACTTGCTGATAAAATCTTCATATTTCTACAGCTTAGGACATCCTTCCTGAAGTAGAATTGATAGGAAGGATATGGAATTTTAGGGGAGAAATGGGAATGGATCGTTATGTTATTTTCCTATCAGAAAAATCGTTGGACATATTTCTTAAAATCTCAGACTAAGTAAGCACTGACTTTCCATTCTACTCCTTGCTTTTCACCTCTAGTTCTTTCTTTCTTTCTTTCCAGTCTTCTCTCAGTAATCAAGGAAAGTGAAGAAACATATGCAAAGGGTGAGGGAGCATGCTGGGGACAAACTAAAATACAAACAGTATGATAATGAAATTCCATTGAAGTGGTTAAAGTAAGGAATTTCCTGAATTCAGGAATCCAAATGGAGATACTAGGAGTAAGAAAACTTTTGGCCCTTTCTCTTTTATTGGATTGCAACCAGAAGTTTTATTTCCCCTTTGGGGGAAGATTCTGAGATGTTGTTTTGTTAATCCAAAAGAAGAAGTATTTTTAATTCAGATAGTTCATCAAAATAAACTTGCAAATGTGTGTGTGTTTTGGCATGTGACATGATAACACCTTTGTCATGGATTGATAGTCTCAACAGTCACTCCACCCACAACTTTTTGTGTGTTGAAGAAAATATTCTAATGTCCCAAAAAATACAAACCCATTTTCTGATTGTCGACATTCCACAATAGATTCCAGTCCTAATAAAAAGTTTAAAGTAGCCAAAAAATACACAGTAAGTATTTGAAAAATACTTGAAAATAAAACTGATTATGTAAAATTTATATATAACAAATACATCTTATTTCATTCAATCTCTTATCTAAAAGTTTTAAAAGCTCACAACCACCCATATGAAACTGATTTATTGTTTTAAAAGAAAAAATGCTTTATATTTAGGAATCTTTCACCTCTTTAAATAAATACGCATACATACAATATGTGTGCATATTACACATAGGTGACAGAGAATCAGTCTTGAATACAGGAAGACCTGATTTCAAGTCTTTCCTCTGATATGTACCAACTGACCCTGTCATTTAAACTCTCAGTGCTTTAGTTAACTTTCTAAAATTGGTAAAGATCAGGTGCTGACATGCATTGGTAGAGGGGATCATAGATTCACAACTGTAAGAGATTTTTATAGGCAATCTGCTGGTTAACCTCTTCATTTAACAGATCGGGATACTGAGGACTAAAGATGTAAGAAGACTCTCTGAGAACCTAGGTCCTCTGACTCCAAATACAGTGTTCTGTACAATTTAGTATCCTGTATTCCTACACCAATTAAATCATGAGAGAGAGAGAGAGAGAGAGAGAGAGAGAGAGAGAGAAAGAGAGAGAGAGAGAGAGAGAGAGAGAGAAAGAGAGAGAGAGAGAGAGATCATATGTACATCTTTCTGATAGGAAAATTACTAACTATAATTATTTGCAGTGTAAGGCACTGGGAACTCCCTCCACCCCACCTCCTGAGGAAACTACCTTTACCAGATCACCACCTTCCCCATAAACTTACAGTTTTATTAAGTTGCCCTGAAGAAGTTAAGTGACTGACCCAGGATCACTCAGCCAATGTTTGTCAGAGGTAGAATAGAACCCAGGTCTTCCTGGCCTCAAGGCTACTTTTATATCTATTATGGAAGACTTTGTAAATCTCTTCTAGGGATGTGTGTGTGTGTGTGTGTGTGTGTGTGTGTGTGTGTGTGTGTGTAATGGGGGGGAGTGTTGACTATATACAGATGGAGAAGCAACAAAGCCTTGTCCTTGGATTTACTGTGTTCATTTGAGACACAACAAAAATTGTAATCATGGAATGAAAAAAATAAATAAATGACACTCCGAAGTGAAATTAGAACACTTCATTTCTAGAATTCTATTGAAATAAAAAAAGTAATAAATATTTTGAAAACAGAGACCAGACAGTGTCTTAAAAAGAGAAGAAGGCAGGGAGGAAAACAAATTAGCTTCTGAAGTTGCAGTATTAGGTCACTATCATAACTGAAATGATCTCAACCACTTCAGCAACAACTCTGGTAAAAAATAGAAAATCGCTCCCAAGTTTTGGGTTGAGTGAATCTTTGGTGTCAAGTTCCCAAGTATAATAGCCATATCATTAAGTGAATGTAATCATGATGGCTAAAGACTCCAAAATTACCAATGTTGATTTGATAACTTTGATTAACTTTTTACTTAATTCCTGCAGAAATTCTCTGGTCATATATTAAAGCAAAGTTTCACTCTGCTTGTACTAAATAATCATGAAAAGCAGAAAGGAAGAGGAAAAAGACATGATCTAAGAAAAGTTTGCCAGTGCTTCAAGCAGCAAAGTAAACAAAGAAACTATCTTCAAATTCACAGAGTAGTATATGTCACAGAAAAACAACTTTGCAATGGGAAACAAGAACTTATTGCAGGCCAGGGTCCTAAGCAGGCAATTCTGTAGTATATCCTAGATGTGATCGTTGCATAGAGGTGTGAAAACAAGTCTATAATCTGGCACTTTGATTACAAAGTAGGTATTATTTATTTTTAAGACCTTGACTTGTAAGCAAAGTATCAACACAAGTTCAGATTTCTATTACATGTTTTTTATATATCACTATAAATCAATATAACTTTAGAAATGATAGAAGGTAGATAGTGGATGGGATAAATCCAATTTGAATTCAAGCTGGATTCTCACAAGTTTCTTTTTGATAATGAAGTAGAGTCTTATCTGATTTGTAATATAAGGAAAAGTATATTCTCTATCAGAATTCTTCCTTTGTATCCTAGACTTATTTTTTTCTTAAATTGACCTCTTTGAAAATAAAGATATAAAATAGAAAATAGTGACCTTACCTGATACCTAATGTGCTGGAAGCCAGAAAACCCCGATCTCATTTCTTCTTAACGCCTTAGAAGAGACTCTTGCTACTTTTGTATTTATGATGCTGAAATTAAGACTGTCTTTATGTTTTCCTCCCTTCAGGACCCTCACTCCATGATACATAATACACATCCATGTAGATGTGTGTGTGTGTGTGTGTGTGTGTGTGTAGTTGTGATTTCTCTTGATCAGTCTCTTCAATTATAAAACCTTTGGCTATAATTTTTATATCAGAGATCCTGCTTTCAATACATAGACGATATAACCAGGACCACCTCCCCAAATCTTTCCATAAAAAAAATCAAAAATCCTTTGGGAACCTGTAGGTGTTTACATTCAGGTCCCCCTTTTTGAAGAGGTCACAGTCCTTCCTAGTTAAAGAAAGAATTGCCTCTCTTTGAGGCCCAGAGGAATAGATGGATAACTACTGATCGCCTACTGCTTTAAATTATGTCCTGAATCGATTTATCTCAGTATTAGCATGGGGTTTTCTCTGATTACACTACTTGGACCAGTTAGGCACTTCACCCAAAGCCAGCCCATCTTTCTGAGCTTGGGCTGTCTCCTAACCTCTTGGAAGTTCTGCAGAGACCAGTTTACACTGAACATTGAAAATTGTGTGTTTGACTCCCTGACTCCTCACTTTCTCTCTCCCTCTTTCCACTCCTTTTTTCCCCTCCTTCCCTCATGTCCTTCCTCTCCTCTCTCTTCCTTGTCTCTCTGTCTTTCTGTTTCTGCATGCCTGCCTGTCTTCTCATGCCAATTCCACCTCCTCCCCAACACTGCATAACTGATTTCCTTAGGGGGAAAGCAGAGAGAACAGTTTTGATTCTTCCTTCCCTCCTTCCATTTCCTTTTTTATCTCTTTTTCCTCCTCATGACTTCCATTCCCCATCCAACACCAGTTCGGTCAGGGCTTCCTTGCCTTTAGATTCCCCAGCTTCTCCTATTTTCTTCGGCTCATGCGAAAGCCGGGGGCGGGGTGGAGTGGGGGGCGGGTAGCAAAGCAAAATGCTTTTTGATACTAAACATCAAACATGGTGAATTCCTTGGTTTCAGCCCCCAATACCACTACAACTGCACTCCAGGGCTCTTGAGAGTAGTCTCATGTTTACATCAGAGAGGGAGGGAGAAAAATTCCCTCTGCATTCCCCCCCCCCACTCCTTTAAGTAGTCTGCCAGGGCCTGGGAGTAGGGATAGAGGTGAAGAAAGGTCTCGGGGTTCAGGAACAGAGCCCTTTGCATTAAAAGAGGGAGAACCCCAAGATGGAAAAGACAGGTGTTACCCAAACATTTGTGGAATCTACAGGATTATTTTACTTCTTACTTCAGGTGCCACTCTGAGAAGAACAGCAAGGCATCCTTTCTGCCTAAACTGCAAATGAACCAAGGATGGGGGACTATCTTTTGAACTAATGGAAAGAATGGAGAAGACATCCCAGCTGTATAGAGGTCCCAGGGGAGAAAATGTTGTCAGACTAGGAATACAAGCAGGAAATGCATTTCTGCTGAGAGTAATTCAAAAGCTCCACACTTAGTTCTTCACTCCTCAATTATTTCTCCACAAAGAAGTTTGTAATATTTTTAAGTGTCCTAGAAACTATGTCAGAAAAAAAAATCCTCCGCCCTCCATAAATTTGTTAAAGCGTTTGTTTGCATTTCTCTTGATTGATATGTAAATGTAGCCGGAATCCTGTTTGCTCAGAATTTTGTGCTACAGAAAGAAATGAATTCACCTTTCCTTGGAACAAGTCAACAGACTTTAAACCAACAGCAGACTACGGTGTAAAAGAGTTTATTTAATGGAAAAACTAAATCTACTTTAAGAAAGACAAATCCATGTGCAGAATTAGCCAGTTGGATATTATCCAGAACCAGCTACTAGCGTGGGGCTGAGACGCCCCTCTACCTCCGTAGGTCTATGCTCCCTCCCACTACAGTCCAATTTCTCCCCGTACCCGCTCTCTCCTCTTTGGGCCCCTAATCCCAAACCACAGGTCCCTCTTTGGCTGAACCCAGAACACATTTGGAAAGGAACGTCCACGATGTTTAAAAGTTTAGTGTTGATTTCTTTTGGTTTGAAAATATAAATTTTTCTCATATTTCCTAATTTCCCTTCAGTAATAGACATGTTTTCCAGCGTCATCCTTTCCGATCCCCACTCCTATTTTTATTCTAAACAGGACAATCGAACAGTACCATACATAGAACACCAATACAATCCTTTAATAGAGAGCAAAAACAGAAAAGCTTGCAAGAAGGGGACTTGCTACCTTGAAGTTTTGAAATGTTTTCACCAACTCTGGTGTCCCTAAAGAGAGCCCAGGGACCTATTTGAATCTTTTAATTTCTTCCACTGAAAAGAAAATGAAGAGAGGAGTAGAAAAGAAAGGAAAAGGAAAAAAAGTGTGAGTGAGGAAACTTGCCATTTTCCTTCGGCATTTTTGCAAATAATTAAATCTATCCAGTTTACGAGGTTGGGGGGGGGGATGATGTTCTGGAGATTTCCCATCCCAATTCTTTCTTTCAGGCACTTTGGATTGCCTATTTGAGTGGGGGTTGGGAGGGAGGGGAAGACTTGTGGGCAGCTACGTTTAATACATCCATTTTTTAATTCCTTGAGAGTTATTTAATTCAACCTACCCTTGAAGCTGTTTTCCTTCACTTCCTGGAGAAGAGAAAGGGTGGAGAAAACCAAATAAAGTTGGGAGAAAAGAGGAATCAGGAAAGAAAGGATGCAGAGTGATGCTAAAGATTCTTTGCAGAAAGGATTTAGGATTCCGGAGTTGGATACAAGTTGAAAAAAGCCTTAACCATTAGCCAACCTATAGTTTCCATTCTAAGGGCTCCTCCAGCCTTGTCCCCACAATCCTGTAACCCTTATCTCATATGATTCTTATTTCCTCATCCTAGCTAAAAATCGCCTGCAAAGAAAACAATCCACAAATAAACTCTTACGGTAGAGCCAGTGAACCTGCAGTCAATAAGTCTCTATCAGTCCGCAGAAATAGCTTTTTAAGGGCACAAATTCTGTCTCTTCTTCTCCCCTCCCCACTACCATTTAAAAGAGACATACATATACACACACAGCTAATTCAAACTGCCTTGCAGGAAAGCTATTCAGGATTCTAGCATAAAGGCTAAGTTCTGAGCACAACCAATTCATTTAAAAATGACATCTTTCAGCATTATTAAAATTACATCTCCAGTGGGGGAATAAAGAATTTTCTTAGTATTTTATAGAACAAATGAGAGATTTTGTTTCTGAAACAAGAGGGATTAAATATTTTATTTTTTGTTCTTCATTTTCTATCCGTTGCTATATCTCCTACAAATAATTTTCTTTTCCAGTCCTCAAGATAGCTGCCTCCCAGGAGTGGCCACAAATTTATCTTCAGTAAGTTGAGCAAAAGCTTCGATCTCTATCTAAATAGATCTGGGTCTTCCACACCTCAGAAACTCTGGAAGATTGAATCCCTTCTCTAGGGAGAACCTAAAACAAGTCTAATTTCCCTGAGGGAGTGGTGATATGCCCCTCCCTCAATCCCAACAAACTCCCACAATCACTAAAACTAAAAGGGGTATTAATAGAAGAAAAAAAGGAATATTTTTAATTTGTATAATTTATTAGAAGCTTCGTAGGAACTATATTTAAGCCAAATATCTACATAAGTTACAAAAAAAAAAAAGACTGACTTCGCAAATACCAAACTGCCAAATAATATACACGGATCTGTCAATGTCCATAAAAAAATGTGAAGGGGTGAGTAGGTAGGGGGAAGTTGCAAAATTTCCTTTTTACAACAAAATATACAGATACTAAAAACTAGATGTTTAGTCCAACTTTTGACAGCGTTATACAGCTACAGGTTCACATCAAAGGTAAGAAAAAAATGTTATGCCAAGGCCAGTGAAAATGTTTCCTCTGCCTTGAGAAGCCAGATTGGGGGCCAGGAGGAGACTGAGGGATTGAAGCCTGGGTGTCTTGTGCCTCCTTTGTTTCTGTGGCGAGTGGGTTTGGTAAAGGCGCCTTTCCTCTTTCCCCAGATTCCCATTTCCGAAATCCTTGTATTTACATTCGAGTATACTTCGCTGGTAAAGTGTGTGGGTGAATGGTGTTTCCTGGTATGTGTGCATATGTATATGTGTATAAGTATGTTTGTATATATATATGCGTATAGAGTATTTATACCCATATACATATGCGTATATACGTTCGCGTATATATACACGTATATGTAGATGATATACCTGTGCTTATATATACATACATATATGTGTGTATATATATATGCTCACATTCCCGTGCGCGCGCGCGCTCTCAGACACACACACGCACACACACTTTTAAAGTCACGATGGCCCTCTCGGAAAAGCCCCATTCAGGCGTTCTAAACCCATTTTCATCACCTAAGAGAAACCCCCAAAGTATTTTTCTTTCTGTCCGTCTCTTTCTGTTTAAAGATTCCTTAAAGAAACCTTAAATTCATTTTTTTTTTGCTTCTATTAAAACACACAAAATTAAAAAGCACAGAAAAGAAAGACGTCCAGCAGTTTGGTTTTTGTTTTGTTTCTTTTGTTTAAACGGGTAAAGACTATTAAGAAAAGTTGGAACATAACGTGGGAGCAGCTTATTTGATTCTTATCTGTGTGTGGTGTGGTGGGGAAATGTGTAGAGTGGAGGGAGGGCTCATTTGTTTTTGGTATGAAATCCTTTCACCAGGTCCTACCGTATAGCAAGGTAGAACAGGACATGGCAGCGCCATAGTCCGAGCTCGAAGAGTTCAGGTGGGACAAGCTGGACACTTGGCTTTGGAGAGACGAAGGACTGGCGGAGTGCTGGGCCAGATCCGGGGATTGACCAGCGCTGCTGGACTGGTGGTTCGGGTGCTGGCTCAGGCTGGTACCGTTGCTGGACACAGTGATGGCCGCAGCCGCGGACCCCTGCTGTTGGTGGCCTTGGAGGCCAGCAGCGCTGGGAGCATTGGAACCCGCCTGACATGGCTTTCCATCCTTGACCAAGACTGGCACTGCCACCCTCCGAGGGGACTGCTGCTGTTGTTGGCAGGAACCGCTGTCCTGCTGCATCTGCTGCTGGGCGGCCTTGTCCTTAGCCTGCCGCTTCATCTTGTAGCGGTGGTTTTGGAACCAGATTTTGACTTGGGTCGGCGTAAGGTGGATCATACTGGCCAGGTGTTCTCTCTCAGGAGCCGACAGGTACTTTTGCTGCTTGAAGCGCCGCTCCAGTTCGTACACCTGCGCCTGGGAGAAGAGGACCCGGCGCTTTCGTCGCGGAGCGCTCTGCAGCGGGGCTATGTTCTTGCTCACGTCCCCCAGAGGGCCCAGGCCTCCCATGCCGCTCATATTCATGCCGCTCGTGGGGCCCATGAAACGGGAGACTGCAAGGTGACAATAGTACATGGGTCGGGCTGGGGACCTTGCTGACATTTCTGCCTCAGATCCCCCAACTACAGCCCCACACCCCACCCCTCTAGACCCTGACCGCCCCGTCCAGGCACACTGTTCACCAGCTCAGGGAGTCCACTGTACAGGGAAAAGGGAGGCTGGGGATTTTTATTACTTTTTGTTTTTGTTTTTGATTTTTTTTTTGAGCGGGAAAAAATACTTTCTCTCTTGGTCTAG